CAGTGATTGTCTACGGTTATTCTTTTTTTTTAATACACAAATATTCCGCTGTTGCCAACAATATAATCACCATGAAATGGCATGAATAAAATGCTTTATGCTTTTCAAAATTGTTGCTGCTTTTATAATAAAGATTAATATAATACATATAATATATATTTAATATTTGGGTGTTTCTTCAACTTTGAAAACTTTGATTCTATGGCACCGCATCTGAGGGACAGTGGTAATTTGTGTAATTTTGACTTTTTTTTTTTCCCAAAAAGTATTACTTTTATTCAACAAGGATGCCTTTAAAATGATTAAGTGACAGTAAAGTTTTTTCATTGTTAGTTTCCACAAAAATATTAAACAGAACAATTGTTTTCAACATTGATAATAATAAGAATGTGTTTGAATGATTTCTGAAGTTCTATGTGACACTGAAGACTGGTGTAATTGCTGGCGAAAATTCAGCTATAAATTCCATGTTAAATTATATTTAAAAAGAAAAAGTCTTTTTACTGTATTTTTGATCAAATAAATGCAGCTTTGATGAGCATAGGATTTAAAAAAATAAAAAAAAACTTTTGAATGTTAATGTTAAAAATATGTAAATGATAAAAATGTTTTATAATTATTTCACTTGTATAGATTAACATAGTTCTTAGTGTAATAATACATGATGGATTTTCATGATTAAAAAGTGAAAGTCTGCGATGAGAGTAAAACAATAAAATATATACATATAAGGCATTTGAAAAGTAATAAACAAAGCAATAATAAATAAAAAAATGTCAAAGTCATTTTAAATATGATCTTCGTGTGAAAAAGAGAAGGAAATCTGTTTATTTGAATAAAAGTCAATCACCCCATTACATAAAGTGCCCATAGTTACAGAGAAACACATTGGAATATTTCTTCTTATTGAGAAATGGAATGAAGGATTGAATGATTATTAGAGCGTCCTGATAAATTCCGCAGTGCTAGATGTCGTCAGAGATCATGCAGTATCAGAAAGCTGGAGCTTTTGTCCACTCTTGCCAATTTGCCACCTGGCTCCAAAGATAACCCACTTCCCCCCTCCCCTACAAATGTGCATTTAATGTAGTTTATCCTGCCAAGAAAGGAAGTTATCCTCTCACTCTGAATGCAGAAAGCTTTGATACAAAGACTTGTATCTCACGCATAACTTTTGCTTTGTAATGTGTTTCTCTCTGTAATCTGTGTCATAATGTTCTTATCCGCTTGACTTCTACTTCCTTTCTGCACAAGGCAACCCACTGTTCGGCATTAATTTCTTTCCCGATGGGATAGATAAAGCGTCATTTCCCTCGCTTTCCATGTTCCACCCTATGGTGATTATTGTGTTGGCAATAGTTTCCGGTCTGATTCGGCTACAGACAAGCATGAGAGTGATACGGCTGCTGCATTGTGTGTTTTGAAGTGTGGATGGTGTCTCAAGCTGTGTTTTTTGGTTTGCTGTGCTTTGAAATGGTTTCTATTTAAGGCTGACTTTACAAATGTGTTGGTTTTGATGAATTTGCAGCTCCTCACAAGGAAATACAATTCCCATGGTGCTCATTTTCATGTCACCCAGTTATGCATATATATATCTGGATGTGTGTGGATTTCCTTTGCGGTACAGCGGTTTCAAATACCTGGAATCTGAAATACCTTGCATTTTCCTCACACGTCTTGAATTTATCCCATGTCAATGCTGTGTTTATTCTTTGAATCACCAATTGTGATTGAACCGTGTTGATTTGAAATGACTGTTAAAGTGTGTCACTAAACTTCTGCCTTGCATCTTGACTGCACAGTGACTAAAGTTGCTTTGCTTCACACCATTTCTTTTCTCCTTAGACCAAGGTCTACACCAACTCCTACCGGATCCATAAGTGCCAATGGGGTGCCAACAGAAGCTCTTGACTACGACAGATTGAAACAGGTACTTCTCAAAATTTGAGAAGAACTGAAACTCATTTAACCTTTTAGCCCTTAAGGGTTTGATAGAGGGGCTGTACACTTCCTCAATATGTTAGCAAAGTCTTGCCAAAGCTAGTGGTACAAGTTCTCGTTTTTTTTCCTCATTTGAAAAAACGTGTTTGGTATTACAGCACTTCCTAAAAAACAAGGGAGAAATACTGGTTGACTGCACAGTTAGGCTTTTGTGGGTGTGTACAATTATAGTCCTCTCTACAAAGGCAATACCTCCCTTCTGTATGAATGAGCATGTTAGATATGAAAGGCATATGAGGGAGTCTTACTTATCAGAGGACACAGTTACTGTTAGTCGCTCAGCTCTGTCTGCTTCACTCTAGCTTTGCCCAGAGAATGTTTTAGTGAAGAATTACTTATAGCAGCTCTAATTAAAGTGCCTGAGTATTGATGTTATAACATACACCTACTCATCCAGTCCTCTTGTCATTTAAACGGCCAAAGCCAAGTGCATTTGATATAACAGCTTATATTAAAAACTCATAGCATAGTTTTTTTTTTTACTTGTCACAGTATCATGGTAGCTAATTTCTCTTCTCTAGTGTATATATTATCATCTAATATGCAATATTACTGTTACTGACAAGAAAACAGTTCAGTGACATGCACTTATAAGTTGCTTGACTACTTTTGATTTGTGGAGTATTATAAATAATATTCTAATCTAATTACAAATGTATTGCTTTGCTTTTTAGGACATTCTAGAGGAGATGAGGAAGGAACTATCGAAGCTGAAAGAAGAACTTATTGATGGTAACATATTATTGCGTTGTATTACCACTATATATGATGCACATTTAGCTTTTTAATACATTAGAAATATGAAAATACTTGACACTAACAGTCAAGAGTTTGGATACATTTGACTGAATTTGTTTCTTATGATCTTAAAAACTTTTTTTAATCCAAAGGCTTATGGTTAAACTATTGATTTAATATTATTATTTATTAATTAATAATATTATTTTATAATGAATAATAATATTTGAAAAATAACTTGACCCTATATAATAAAATAAATAACCCTAATTTCCTATTTTCCGCCCTATGGTGATTATGTTGGCAATGTTCTTTATTTATTCATTCATTCATTCATTCATTAAAATAAAAATGTCTTTACAAAATTTTAATAAACGTAAAAATAAAAGAGCTGGAATGGATGGTGAAGGAAAAGTAGCCTACAAGGTGTAGCTAATAATAATAATAATGTATAATAATAATTATTATTATTATTTAAAAACTGTACTATTATTTTATACTGTACATGTTTTCAATTATTTATTTTTTTTTATACAAAAAAATAAATCTTTGCAAACTTTTAATTACAAAAAAATGAGTAGGAATGGGTAATAACAAGTGACAAGTGTCCAGCATATAAAGGATGGCTTTTTTCGATTTATTTATTCGTTTTTGGTCACTACATGATTCCCTTTTTGTGTTCTTTTATGGGTTTAATGACTTTACTATGATTCTAACATATTTTAAATAGTAATAATGGATGAGTAGGCGTCTAAACCTTTGACTGTTAGTGTAAATAGAACTAAACTAGCAATCTGACCTGGACGGTTTCTAATTCCTTTGTCGTTTTTGTATTTTCAGCAATCAGGGAGGAGTTGGGCAAGTCAAACTCTGCATAGGAGAATGAGATGCACCTGTATTTTTAACCACAATCTGTCACTTCAGAGGTCAGCTTCAGTTTAAGACACTTTCTCAAAAGCAATGAAAATGGAAAATTACAGTTTTAACCAGTGGTGATCACAATAACCATGATAATTCGGAGGATCTGTTGAGTATGATGCCGGGACAGACATAAGTTTTGAGCGTGGGGGCACGGGAGGCGTAACAGCGAGAGGATAACCAGATGCCTCAAAGCGACGCCATACACCAAAAACCCCATCTTGAAGGGGGTCAGGACACAGTCTTAAGGAAGTGACTGTCAGTATGCAATGGATGACTCTTACCGTGGAAAGAAAATGATGAAAAAAGACAAACTATTACTGAATTACATACTGTATTAACCATCGAAGAGTGAAATTGTAAATCAAGCAGATGACATTCATTCTACGGCACATCGTTTAGCAAAGGGCAGGCTCTGTTTATGAATTTAAAAGGTGGTGGTGGTGGTGGTGGTGGTGAAGTAACGTTAACGAAGTTGGCCTTGTATAGAGCAAAACCTTGAATCTGGCCAACCAAATGAGTATGGTCTCTTGCTGCAGGGCTCTAAAGCTTGTCTTCCTACTATTTTAACCAGAATATGTACATTAAAATGATGACAAAATAAACATTATACCTGCAAGTCATTCAGTCAACATGTACGCCATGACCACATCAGGTAGCTTACTTGCTCTTTTGGTCGGTTTTCATCATTATTCTTCTCTTTTCGAACGTGAATGCTCGACAGGCTGTCTCTAATGAGCCACTGTTATCTGTATACCTTCGTCTTGTGTGTTCGCTAAGTGTTGGGAAAGATCACGAAGGACAATGCCTTTCTACGGTACATCATTGTAGCTCTCTACCAAAATCCTCTCAGCCAATCGAAGTTAAGGTTGACGTCAACGTCAGCTCAGACCATATCTGTAGATAGTGCTAACCAGAAATACTATGAACTTTTTATTCACCGTAGGCTCTTTTCGTATTTCTTTCGATTTCAGTGCTTGTCTTCTTATGATTGGTAAGGGAAAAATGGTTGCCACGAAAAATACTTTAGTTTTCAGTTCATAAGCAATAAGTGTAGCATTGTTGCATTTTTGGACTCTCTCTCCATTTTTTTTTCTTTAATCGTCCACTCTGCCCTCAAACTGTGGATGAATGACGTTCTCCATACGTATGAATGCAGTAGTTATCCATTTCCCCCCCCGCCATGCTCACTTGTCAATCCTTTGTCATTTCTTTTCACTTCAAAAGCATCACTCGAAATAATCTCTCAAGGAATCAGAAAGTTTGTATAGAGTGTTTACAGCATTGATTGCACTTTAAAAACCCGTAGAAATTCAAATGATTCTATTGCTGGCAAGCAGAGGGAGGAACGAATTCAGAGCGGGGGCCAGTGTTTTTAAAACAATATTCTTTATTTGATGAAGTTCCGTGGATAAGCTTTAGAGATTTTTAGGATATTAAGATCGACTCAAGGTAAGAAAATCTTAACTAATTCACTTTGCATGTTTTTTTGTTTTTGTATGGGAATGTGTATGTTGTGACTGCGTAGCTAACGGTACAGAACTAGATCAGCGCTCAGTCCGCCCTCAGCTCTGCTTTTATGAAGTAACTAAACATAATGTATTGCTATTAACGGTCACTAGCTCTATCTGCATGTAATATAATATTTTAAACTCTTTATTTATGTAAACAGTACCACTGTTTGTCGTTGTTTTGGTATTTGACTTAATAACCCGATTTCCAGCCGGCTCGTTGCACAGGAAACTTGGGCACGGCGCGCATTTATTGTCCTCTAACACGGCTCGACTGTTTTTCCTCACGACTTCTTCTTTCGTTTTTTATTTTTTGGGTAGTTAAAATTATAATTGATATCGGACCTTTCAGTTTCATTATTCTGTATGTCCTCGAAAGTGCAAGTGACTCCTTCCACTCTTGCGCAAAATAGTCACGTTTAATGGTAACTTAATTTGACTCTGTGTTTTGGCAGTACGTTTGTGTTTAATACAGTATTCGTTCATTATAACCGTTGATTTTTGTTGTGTGTGTGTGTGTGTGTCCGTTGTTTATTAACACTGATTTAATGCTGCTGTTTATGAGCCTCTCTCGCATGCGGACTGACAATGGTTTGAATACATGACGTTTTCCCTCCATTCCTGTCATTCTTTTGCTGTGTTAAAGGAGCAGCATGTGAGTGGGTGCTTTTGCATTACATGAAAGAACAATGAGACACAAGAACTATTTAATTTATCATATTTCTAATAAATAATCCAGAATTTATATTCAGTCCGCCATAGCTAATGTATTCTATTCGTTGGTTTGATAATGTAAAATGTAAAAATCATAAATGTGGTAATTGTTGGAAATACTGTTGATTTAAAAAGTAAAGTCAGATTTTCTGTCTTAAGTTTTACTGTGAATCGATGTTGGTAGTGATAGTAAAGTGCGCGTGTCGTCGTGTGTCCCCTCATTTGCATAACAAAAGCAGCAGGCTGCGCCCACTGACATTCACTCCGTTTAAATCTTTTGCTCTGTAGTTTCACTTCAACTCTCTGGAAGTGCATGGGATTTCTGCAGTGCTGGACTTCATCTCAGTGTTGGGTGTGTGTCTGTGATCTGGTTCAGGAATGTCTGGAATGTGTTTCATTGGATTAGATGGTTTTAGGGTAGATGGCTTATGTTTTTATGATCAGTACTTTACATATGGTTTCAATATGATTTTTTAGGTGTTTCCTGTAATGGAGAGTGTCTGCTTATAAAGTGCTTCTAGATGTGTGAGCAGAACTTTTAGCTTGTTTCTGGCCTTGCCTAAGTGCCAAAATCATATAATGTTTTGGTGGTGGTGTTTGGTCTTTACAACAGAATTTCTTTGTAAGCATTCTTTAAACATCTTTTTTTTTTTTTAAATCAGTATCAAGCGTTACTGTCTTTCAGTTTTGAAGTGGTAGTTTGTTAAAAATTGAAATGTAGACACTAGCTTTATTTATTTATTTTTAGATTTTATGTTGGAATGTCTAATAAGTGATATCCAGAAGCATTTTTATTATTTAGACACTATAACCCAGTAATTGTTAGACTGCAACAATTAAAAAACGTATTCTGCATTTTAAATATATTATTATTAGTGGTCAATTTATTATATATTATTATATTATTTAAGCATTCTATTTATGGAAAAACTTACAGTCTAAATGGTTGCAAGCATATTTTATATTTATAAATATGTATTATTATTTATTTAGTGTCTTTGTTTTTGGGTTATTCAGCTTAAATTCTATTGTATTTGTTATTTTGAGAATGAATGTCTGTAAAAAGCTAAGTAATTATGCAAAAAAAAAAAAGTATTTTAATTATTTTATTTATTATTTTTACATTTAAACGCATAGTAGTGTAATGGTATTTTAGGGCAATATTCTGTAAAGATGCACCAGATGGTGCCAATTATGTGTAGATCCAAAAATGAGAACCAGTTAAGTAGAGAAGTGTGAATTTATAAACAAAAATACTTGTATTGGACTTTCTGTAGTGATTTTTATTTATATTTTTGGTCTGCATATGGATAATAAAAGTCATCTCATTGGCCAGAAGTTGTTGATACCCGTGTGATAGTAGAATCCCTCTCATAAAGGCCATTGAGAGCTCAACAATAGTGCTGGTGCAGAGAGTACAGTGTGGGTGCGTAATTCAGACCCATCAGCACTTCTGAGACGGCAGCTGACATCATCACTTCATTGTCATCAGGCCATGGACAGCTACTCTGGTGTTTCCCATTGAACGTGTTTGAAATATCACAGAGAATCTTTAAGTCTGTAAAGATAGATTACTGGTTTGTTTTGAAGGGACATGCAAATGCTCATGTGCATTAAGTTTATAAAGGTGAACTGTGTGTAAAAATACTTCGATCCCAGCGTAATATGCAGAGACAACTGTAAGCTATTCATATGTTAATTGTCCCAAAAAGTATAAACACGGGCCCTACCAAAACACTTTTTGAGCATCTCAGGATCCCATTATGAGTTTTGTAGTTTGTCTTTGTAGTGGAAGACCTACTTTTGGTTTTTGTAAAACCTGTCTGAGTGCTTGAACCAGTTGTAAAGTCAGTTTGGTGATGCTTTTGGCACAGAGATTACACCCTTGACTTCATCTTTAAAGGCTGCATGCTGGGATACTATCATTAACGGAGTTGCTGTTGATGTATTTTGTTTCTAGTATGTCCTAATTTTCAGACTGTTACGTTTGTTTAGTAGTTAGTTAAACAGGAAAGGCAATTATCTTGTGTTAATTGTTTTGTAGGTAAACAATGCCGACTGCAAGGTTTCAGATTGGAGATACTGTAATGGGCCGTTGGCCTGGCAGTAACCTTTATTATGAGGTCAAGGTGCTGAGTTATGACAACAAGACTCGGCTCTACACTGTCATCTACAAAGATGGTACTGAACTGGAGCTGAAGGAATCTGACATCACGGTATGAATGAATTTGAGAATCATTCAAAGAGCATCTTGTGCCTCACTGGAAGCAAGAGCTTCTGACCGTCTGTACAAATGAGTTTGCATGATCAGTGACACAAATTTACTTATTTGATTGATTAGTGATGTCATAGTATTCCTTCAAATGTTTTAAAATCCTAAAGCTTAATTTCTAGGTTTTAAATCCAGTTATATAGATTTTTAATTAACTGACATTATGGTACAATAAGGAAACGCTAGATGAAGTTGCGGTGTGGATGTTGTTTTCTTCATTGCAGAGTCTGACAATATTTAAGCAGGGCGTTTCACGCTCTCGGTCCAGATCCCGCTCTCGTTCACCGGGACGCCCTCGTCGCAGTCGTTCCCGTTCTCCAGCTAGGACGTCCCGCCAATCTTCCTCTCGCACCACAGATGTTCGCAAGGAAAAACTCAAAGAAGCATTGGAGGTCCGACTCACCCCTGTGGTAAAGAGACTTGTTTGCTAGGACAAAACAAACACAAACTCTTTATTTCTGTCTTTCTTTCTCTTTCTCTCACCCCCCCTTCACGCTCTGTCTGATATTTAGCATGTTCAGGATGTCAAGTACATTAAAAACTTTAATATATAGTATCAAAAAAACATTAGTCCTTTCATATTAAGATTTAACAAGAATTTTGGTAAGATTTTTAGAACATTTTAAAAGTCTCATGCTCACCAAGGCTTTATTTATATGATTAGAAATACAGTAAAAACTGTAAAATTCTGAAGTATTGTTACAATTTAAAGCAACTTTTAAATTAAACTATTTTTCTGTTTTAATATATTTTGAAATAAATTTTATTCCGGTTGATTACAAGTAAGGGAGTTTAATCTAATTTAAAGCAGTTAACTCAAGCATTTTAATGCTGTTAACTCATTTGTCTCTCCTCATGGGTTCACTTTATGTGTCCTTGACTGCCATCTGTTTCAGCCGGTGACACACGAGAACAATAGCAACAGCAAACATGAGAAGAAAGAGGAAAATAATACAGCTAATACAGCTTCCACAATCACTGAGGTATGAATACATCATGGATTCCCATTTCATTAATGTCTTAATCACTAGCTAGCAACAATAGAACCTCCTTAAAGGGTTAGTTCATCGCAAAATGAAAATTATGCTGCGTTTCACTCACCCCCGAAGCATCCTAGGTCATAATTTTCATTTTGCGGTGAACTAACCCTTTAATGTTTCGTGTCAGATGTTAGAAACTGCTGTAGTTAAAGGGATAGTTCACCCAAAAATGAAAATTTGATGTTTATCTGCTTACCCCACTGGGCATCCAAGATGTAGGTGACTTTGTTTCTTCAGTAGAACACATTTGATGATTTTTAAGTCCAACCGTTGG